ATGAAGTCAGGTGCCCCCTTGATTCTAGCATTCAAGGAGTTCTTGGGTGGTACAAGAGAAGATGGTGTTTCAAATAGGCCACTGGATGGCATCTAAGAGCCAGGGACAGGTGTTGTGCACTCGCAGAACAGCTCCCTCAGATGAGGAAGGAGTCCAGGTTCAGATCTGGTTCTTAGAAGCCGAAGGACAGTACAGGGATATAATTCAGAAAGAGGAAGCTAAGTCAAGGCTTTTTGAAAACACTGATGAGGCAGGACCAGGATTCACTCAGGAGTCACAGGTTAAGGAAGTCCAGAACCAGAGTCAGGAACACAGTCATTACTAGAGGGCTTGAAAACAGCCAGAGCTAGGGCCAAGGTCCAGACTGGAGGTCAGCATGATTGGCATGTTCAGCTTACAAGGAATGGAGTTAGGGCAATGTAATCAAGAAAAATTGTTCTAATAAGATCTAAAGAAGCAGTAAGAATTTGTTGACTCGCTGCAACTGGGATTTAAAGGGCCCTTAACCTAAGTTCAATGGCATATGCTGAAAGACCACAAATATTTGTTGTATTGGATTCAAGTGTTCACTTGGTCTCCAATTAGCGTTCTAGACTTATTTCCTGCTGTTTTCCTTCATGTACCATGTGTTCCAGGCCAATTGGATCAATCACTGTTTCTTAAGTATGTCTCATTCTTTTCATGCTTTGGTGCTGTACTCCATTTCTGCTGGCATTTCTTACCTTCCCAGCTCTGCCTCTTTTATTTCATATTGCTTTTCAAGATCTAGCCTGAGTGCCATTTTATTCTAGCTATGTTACCTTAGGCAGAGCACTTAAATTCTCTGGAACTCAAATTTTCTCATCTGTAAAATGAGGAGGTTGGACCAGGTAATCTCTGGGGCCCCTTCCTTTTTGAAATCTGTGATCCTACCATTTTGTGACATGTATGCCTTGGACCCTCTCCCAGGATGGGGCAGACTGCATCATTTCTCAGGATTTGAGAGGGGCTACCCTGAGAGATTAGAGTTCCTTTATCCAATTCACAAGCTTGAGCCCCATTGGCTGTGTTTCCCTTATTTTTAGGGGGGTCTGGTAGCATTACAATTTCATTTAACTACTTAACATTAGGTAAATTTTACAAAGCAATATTTACTTCAAAGATATAGTAATTATAAATATATATAGACATTTCCCCTTATATCTCTAGGGGCATATTCTCCCCTATACAGCTTTGGTCTGGTGGATAGACTTAATATTTAGCACAGTTCTACATGACATCGGTCTTACAAATTCTTGTCTAAAGGTGGTATCACTGCCAAATGAGTCTTTCTGCTGGGCTGGGATCCCGAAGGTCACTTCTGTTTTTTTTTTTTTAAAGGCAGTTGGAATTAAGTGACATGCCCAGGGTCACACAGCTAGTAAGTGTCAAGTATTTGGTCTGAGGCCAGATTTGAACTCAGATCCTCCTGACTTCAGGGCTGGTGCTCTATCCACTGCGCCACCTAGCTGCCCCACCAAAGGTCACTTCTGAAGATTACTCCTCGATCCTGAGGGCATTGATGCTGTGCTGACTAGAAGTCCTGTCCTGGAATTCTGGAACACCAGGATAACCCTAGACACCCCTTGAACTCACAAAACTGCATTCAGTTTACCTAGAATGGAAAACAAACATGGAAGCTAAGAGCCAAAGCCCATTTCTTGGAGGGCCATGGCTTCAGAGAGGATGAAGGCCCAGAGAGATTTGTATGATTTCTTGTTAGGTATCTTGAGAGAGTCATTGAGTTCCCCTGGAAATGAATGAAACAGATAGCTAAAGCTGACTCAAGCATTTTTGATGGCACTTACAGTTCTGGCTATACAGTCAGTCTAAAAACAAAAACGCCTGACCACGTGTTTAGTCATCGGCAACCATTTACAAAATGTACATGTGCCTCACAGTCTTTCCTAGGGATTTCCACTCCCCACTTCTCCATATTGGGAGTTGCATCAACTGAACAAGCCAAGTGGGGCTCTCCATGTGCCAGATCCCCATTAAATATTTCCCTCCATGCTGCTTTTCCCCTCCCCACCGTGTTATCTTTCTTTTTTGAAATTTTTTTTTTATTAATTTATTTGGTCTATCAATAATTGCTTCCATATGCTTTTTGAGTTTAAAATTTTTCTCCCTCTTCCTCCCCACCACCCTCCCCAAGATGGCGCACAATCTGATATAGGCTGTACCTTTACTTTCCTATTAAACATATTTTTGCATTAGTGATATTGTAAGTAAAAATTAAAACCAATAGGAGGAACCATCAGAAAGAGGAAACAAAACTCAACAGAAGAGGATAAAAATAGCAATTCAACTTCCATAGTTCTTTCTTTGGATGTGGACAGCATTTTCCATCATGAGGCCTCTGGAGATGTCTTAGATCCTTGTATTGCTGGGAAGGGTTAAGTTTATCAATATTAGTCATCGCACAACATGGCTGTTATTGTGTACAACATTCTCTTGTTTCTGCTCACTTCACTCAACATCAGACCATACAAGTCTTTCCAGGTTTTTCTGAAGTCAGCCTGTTCATCATTTCTTATAGCACAATAGTATTCCATTACATTCATACACCACAACTTGATGGGCATCCTCTCAATTTCCAATTCTTTGCCACCACAAAAAGAGCTACTATGAATATTTTTGTGCATGTGGGTCCTTTTGCCATTTGTATGATCTCTTTGGGATATAGCCCTAGAAGTGCTATTGCTGGGTCAAAGTCAGTGTTTTCTTTCACTTTGAATTACTACAGTAACGTATCTCTCTTATTGTAGTGCCACATTGTTATTTGTAAGCTGCTTAAGACCAGGAAATTTGTCTTATTCATATATTTATCCCCCAAAACATGTAGTACCCTATCTTGTTTGGACCTGGGGCTCTCTGAACCTGCTTCTTCATCTGTAAAATCAGGGGGTTGGACTTGATCTCTAAGATTTCTTCTGATCCTAAACCTATAGTGATAAGTGGACCATGATCCTGATGTTGCTGACTTGGGTGACTAGAAGGATGTCGGTGGCCTTGCCAGTAATGAGACTTTTGGAAGATGGGTGAGCTTTAGGGAAAAGATGAGTTCTGTTTTGGATGTGTTAGATTTGAAATGCCTGTAGTGTCTGTAGGGTATGAGACTTCTTCTACCAATGTACATCACCAATTCATTTCTAATTTTTAGTTTTAGGGAGTTGCCAAGGTCACACAACTTTTATGTGTCAGAGTCAGGACTTGATCCCAGACTTTCCTGACTCTTAAGGCCTGCTTTCTCTTCACTCTTCCTTGCTACCTTTCTTATACATAGTTCCAAGTATATGTAATAAGTGCCTGGAGGTGAAAGGACGAAAACAGAAGTGAAACAATCTCTGCTTTCCAAGAGTTTACATTCTATTGGAGTAAGCAACATGTACCTATATAGACATAAACAAAATAAATGCAAGGTGAGGGGAAAGCAGGCACTAGAAATTGAGCATGACATCTAATGAGCTGAATCTTCTAAGATGTAGCGTGAGGAGGGGGAGTGCATTCCAAGCATGAGAAATATCTAGTACAGCTTTCTGGAGATGGGTAATGGAAGTCCTTGTATGAGAAATAGTAACAAGGGTAGGCTAGAGAGTGGACGGTGGAAAGGTAGATTAAGGCCAGGTAGTAAAGGGTTTTAAAGGCTGAACAAAGGAGTTTCCCTTGGATCTTAGAAATAATAGCCACGGGACTTTATTGAGGAGGGAAATAAGTGACATGGTCAGATCTATGCTGTGGAGGAAGGTTTGGAGTTGGGTGTCACAGGGGCCAGTTAGAAGGCTGTTATGATAGCCCCAGTGAGAGGTGATTAGTCCCTGAACTAGGGTGGTGGCTGCATGGTTGAAATAAGTAAAACCATGGAAACAAGGAGGTCAACAGGTAAGGGAGTATAGACAGAGAAGAGGACCCAGGATAGGGGTGGGAGGGTGAGGTACAATTAGTGGGCATGATATGGATGATGAACCAGCAAAGGAAAATGAGGAGTGATCAGGTAAGGTAGAAGGAGAGCAGTGTCACAAAATCCCAGAGAGCAGTCAGGAGACAGAAGGGTGGTTAGCTGTCTCAAACACTCAGAGGTCAAGGAGGACAGGGATTGAGAAAAGGACGTCAGATTTGGCAATGAAGTTCATAAATATTTGTCAGATTAGTGAAGAGGGAAGTAGTGATAGGCTAAATGAAAATCTAATTAATTTGTAGTCAGAAGACTTGGGTTTAAATTACAGCTCTGTTCTCCCTATGTGATGTTGCGCAAATGATTTACTTTTCAGAGCCTCAAGTTCCTTCTCTGTCAAATGAGGAGTTTGTTCTGTAGATGATTTCTGAAGTTTCTACCAACTCTAAATCCTATACTAAATGTGTCCTAATAGTTGATAAGAAACAGAAAGAGTTGGAGATTGATTTGGGTTGTGTTAACAAGTAATCATCATAGCCAGTATCTAGCAACTCTTATAAACCCTATAGCCCTGTGTTTCTAACCCAAGGATTCTTAACGTAGGATCCATGAACTTGTTTTTAAAAATATTTTGATAACTCTTTCCATATAATCCTCTGCATTTTACTTTATACATTTAAAAACATTATTCTAAGAATAGGGATCTATAGGCCTCATTAGATTGTCAAAAGGGTCCATGCCCCTAGAAAGGTTTTAAGGACTCTTTCTCTAACCCTATCTGAATTTGGTATGTCTAACTCATTGAATATTTATTGGGAACTTATTATTGTATTGTGATTAGTATTGTGCTTATAATTTGGAGTATACTTAAGATAAACTTTCCACCCAAATTAGGGTTTTACAGTAGAAAATCTAGCACAGAATTTGGGGTGTTTTTTATTTTTGGGCCAAACAAGGTTTTCTTTGGCATATTGTATGTAATACTGGTCATAGTAGTAATGTGTAACTCTGGAATGATACTGAAAGAAAAACTTTAAGGCTCAAAGTTGAAATTGCAATAATGATTATTCATTTTTTAATATTCTAGGTTTCTTGCACTGACACCCTGGAGAGTATATCACCTGATTTCAGTCATGATACTTGGGCGTGTAATTTTGCAGATAATAAAAGAAATGGTATTATCTAGAATGAAAGGTAAGGAAGCTCGCCAATTTAGTTACTCTCTTAATTCTCAAGAAATTTTTCTCCAGGACCTACCTTCCTAGGTCTCTGTCATGGAATTAGTAGAATATTATCCATCCCATTGTGGTTTCACTGATGTCTGATGGCCCCATTAGACGTTGTTGATCCTGGCAAAGAAGTTAACTGTGCTTAATTTTTACTACTTTTGTAGTTCAGGAGGCTGGTTGTTTTTTTAATACCTTTTTCCTCTCCTAAGTGAACTCCTAATGAGTATAACAATTAAATATATGTTTTACCCATATGAAGAAACAAACCCATTTATTAATGCATCACTCTCTGTGCTAATGAGCCAGCAAGTTCTGCCCAAAAGTGTAGGAACGTTTGAATCACAGTTTCAAAACAGTTAAGCATTTAATGGAAGAAATGATCATTTATTGAGTTTTAAAAGAATGAGTAAAAGAACAATCTAGTTAGTAAAAGTGCATTTTAAGTAAGTTAGAAAAAGTGAAATTATTGAAAATTGCTTTAATAAATTGAAACAGATACTGCTTAACTAATTTTTAAAGTATTTTTAAGTTAGCATTTTAAAATCTTGATTCAAAATTTCTTTGTACTTGGGGGATTTCTACTTGCCAATTTGTAAATGAACCAGCCAGCTTTGATATGTGGATACAAGGTTATCCTAGGAAGAGCTATGTGTGCACTTTGTTGCTCATTAAATGTCTTTGGTTAATAATTAGGAAATAATTTGGCTTGCGAAATTTTACTTCATTGTAGTAAAATTGGAAAAATTATTGGTGCCATGTTGGAAATAAGAGGATGAATGGACCATGCAGTAAGCATAGGACCAAAGGATTTATAGATGGAAAGGACCTTAGAGATCCGTCCTTTCCGTCTATAAATCCTTTGGCACCAAAGGATGTTTTGTGGAAGTGCATTGCTATTCTGCCTGATGGCATAGAGGCAGCGTGGTACAGTAAGAACGGCATTAGCTTTGAAGCTGGCTTTGAAACTGAATTCTCCTCATTCCTAGATGTGTGACTTTGGACAAATGATTTAACCTCTTTGGACCTCAGTTTCCTTCATCTATATGGTTAAAGAGTTTAGAACAATGATCTCTGAGATCCCTTCCATCTCTAAATCTCATGATCTTGAGTCCCTTGATTCCTGCAAGCACTGTTCCCCATCTGTAAAATGGGTATAATACACTATTACAAATGGAAATGTGTCCATAAACAACTCTTTGAAAGGGCTTTCATATTAAGTTTAATCTGTATTAATAACATTTTATCCATCATTTTCTTAACCCTTAAAATTGACAAAACAATATATCAAGCCCTAATTTGTAGCATATGCCAATTTCTGAAATGTAAATGCTTACTCTGAAAGTTTAACAATCGACTCTGAAGAGCCTTTCTTAGCTGGCTCTAGCAATACCTCTGACTGTAAATCACTTTGTAACCAAAAAAATACTATATAAATATCTGCATTTGTAATGCTGCGTAGCTGATGTCGGCTTCAAAAATAGGTATCTGTCACCCGCTAATTTATCCAAATCTGTTTTGGATCTATATTTTCAGTTTCTACTCTCCAATCCCTTGGGGTCATGAATTAGCATTAAAGAAGTTCACAGATTGAGTTAATGTTTTAATTTTCTAAAAAAAAAATCGCATTTCTAAACTTTATCTTCTGTTATATACGTGCACGTATATTTTGCACATATGGCTGTAATTCCAGATTATCTGCTGAGAGCTGATGATGTGATTTTTTTTTAAATTAAGCAAATTTTTTATGTCTTTACAATCAAATTTTGAAATGTGAAAGTAACATGAGTAGTTCCAAATTGTGGTAGAGGAGGGACCAAAGAGGAATAAAGTTAAACGTTGTTTATGCTTTGAAAGTTCAATCTTCTGATTTGTGGTTGTGGGCCAGCGTATGTTAGTGAATTCCATTATTTTACCACCTATTGTATGAAGTAGGCCTTCCTTCATTTGTACTCTGTGGCTTTCAAGCTTCAGAGGCCACCAAGAGTTGGCATTCTTGGATTTGATAAATACCTATAAATTTTTAGTCATATCTTCATGATACAATGTATTTCATCCGTAATTCCTTTTCTGTTTCTTTTTCAAGACTTATGTCCTGGTTTTTAAAATGTGCCCTGATATGTAACCCTTATATCCCTTTGACTCTGTTAGCTGATGTTCAGCTCAGTTATATATCTTGATATGCAAGGATCCTAACTGCATAAAGTGTTCCAAATGCAAATGCACAGTGGTTTTACACAGTGGTAGAATAGTGTTTTCTTTTTGCTTTTGGCATCTTTCTTAATTGCTGTTGTCTCACAAATACAGAGCATTTTATTGGCCTTTTGGGTTTGATGTCTTTAGGGAACAGTCTACTAAACCACTCCCAAGTTCTCTTCCTTATAACCAATTTCGCTTTAGTTGATCAATTTACTGACTTTTCTGTATACTCAGAGATTTTCATAGTGTAGGCAGACTTGAAGGTTTCAACAAAATAATCTGCTAAGAGCTTTTTCCTTTAGGCCTAATAGTGCAGATCTCTTAAATTCTGAAGCAAAAATAAATGAACCTAGAATCTATTTTATTAGGTAAGTGCAAATTAAAGGGCCTTCTGTGTTACCAGGAACTAGCACTGCACAGATCTGAAAATGATATTTTTGTTTCTTGAGAAGAGGTAAAGAAACCTTGTTAATTCTTGTAATGGTGGTTTTTTTCCCCAATTTCCTCCTCTTGTTGAAGAAAGACTTTTGCCTACAAAGTGTCCTAGCTGTCTAAATGTCTGACAGAGACTGTCTTGTCTACACAGCCAGTTTGGCCTTAGGGTCTTACCTGCTCTAATGAATACATTTGAGTAGGAGCCAAATGAGACAGTTAAGTCAGATTAAAATGCAGTAATTAGTACTCCTTTGCATATATCTAAGAAACAGTCATTTTTAATCAAATACCTTGGCCCATAACCACAAATCAGAAGATTGACCTTTTAAAGCATAAAGAATGTGTCTTAAAGCCTCTTTGGCTCTTCCTCTGCCATATTTTGTAATTATTCATGTTAGTTTCTCTGAAAGTTAATTGTAAGAATATTAAAAATTACTAGATTTTCCTAAGATAATTTTAAACTTTTGATGTGAAATAGGTAGCAAATGAAGGTAAATATTTTGTCTTGTAACTAGAACTGTATCACAAGTTTATAATGGAAAACTTTTAATTTTTTTAAACTGAGGTTGGAAATAGCATGGGGGTAGAAAGGCCACATGGGGAACTCCTGGTATGGAAAATTTTTCCTCCATGGTTGCACATAGGCAACTCATTTGTAACTTACAGTCGTAGAGAATTAACTGGAGCACTGAGAGGTAAAGAAACTTGACCATGGTCACAAAGCTGGTATATGTCAGAGACAATGCTTCAATCTGGGTCTTTCTGACTCCTAAGCCAGCTTTCTCTCCACAATGCTATTCTACTTCTTAGACAACTTGAGAGTTTTCATTTATTTTCAAGCGCTGAACTTGCCTGAAAGTCAGTTTTCAGTTTTTGGAATTTTTAGTTGGTAATTTTAAAAAAAAGTTTTAAATTTTAAGTTGTTTGGAAGATTTTTAATTTCAGGTTGTTTGGAAATTATTTAATAGAGAAAATGAGTAAGGGAAAATACCTGAATTGAGTTTTATGTTATATTTTTTATTTCAGGTGCGCAATTGTGGAGGAGCCTCAGTGAAAGGTAGGGTATTTCCTTTTTAATCTGTCTAATATGATAGTTAATTTTCAGGTGTGGACTGTAGGGGAGGGCATGTAAACCTCTACCATGGTATCTATTCTCCCTGCACGGTTCAGAGTCTTCCTGAAGGGATCCAGCTTCTGTGGCAATGTCCAAAAGTAGAATGTTCCAACAACACAGTTGATTTGGGAACAAAATTATGATGATTGTCCTAAAAAGCAGGTTGCATCTTGAAGCCTTTTAGTAGTGGTGTTTTGTAGAGCCCTGAACTTTTTCCTGGAAAAATAGTCTGTACTGGTTTGCTATGTTGCTTAATTTGGCTAATTCAATTAGAGCAGTGTGCTAATGAGGCCAAATAAGGCAGAATGGCTTAAAGCATGTGTCCTAGAGATATTTTTATTTATGTTTACATATCTAAAGAATAACATACATATAGTTATGTATTTATTCATATAAGAAAGAATAGGGTGGAATTATTCAGGCAAAGAAATATTTCTTGTTTTTCTTCTCTGAATGTATTTGAGTGGGGGAAACTGGGAAAATGTAGAAATGAGTAGTGATCTGTTAATATGGTATTAGCATTTTTAGCACCTAATACAGTAGTTTCTGACCACATGTTTGGATTTATTTTGAAGGCTTTGTTTTAAATCTGTAGTTATTTGTGCATCTATATTAATTTTACCCAGTAAGCTGATTGAGGGAAGCAACTGTTTCATTTTTGTTGTGGTTTCTCCAAACTTCACATAATGCCTTGTGTATTAGAGATACTTAATAAATATTTACATTAAGTTGAATGTTACTTAGGTACAAAAAATTGGATATTTGTGTGGGCATGTGTACACCCACATACATAGTCACAAATTTTACACAGACACAAATACATACATATACATATTACATTGCCTAAGTCAGAGTGGATATTGTGAAGCTAATATGTCATAATTAAGATAATACCATCTAAAATTACACAGCAGTACCTCTCCAAATTGAGAGGGGTCCACCAGATTTCATTAGTGTTTTTTTAAATTAAATTGTGATTTTGGGTCTAGTGCAAGAATATCCATTTGAAAAATGAAGGAAAATATTTCTCTTCAGCCTCGAGATGTATTTTCCCTCATTTCTGCCCTATGACTACAACTAACAAACCATGAGAAATAGTTTGGGAGTAAGCATAAAGTACCAGCCTGTCATATGTGGATATTTTGGTTGCCAAAAGGGGCAGAAAAGGTGAATTTATATAAGGAAAGCTATTAACATCAACTCAAGAAAGAAACCCAGTCTTTCAGATATTTTTTGCTTTTTTTTGTAAAAAAATATATTTTCAGTGGTATTCTTTGTTTATACATTTACTTACATTCCTCATGTATCCTTGCTTCTTTCCATCTCCCAGAGAGCCATCGCTCTCATTCAAAATGTTGAAGCGAGAAACAGATGTCTAAAGAACAGACAGAAAATTACCCCTGTCAGCAACCCAAATGCCCATGTATGAAAGGGGCAGTATCTTATAGTTGCTCCCAAACTATTCTTCATGGTTTGCCAGTTATACAGCTGGACATGATAAGGGTTTAGTGAGAAAAATCCATTTCTGAGTGATTCTGAGTAATGCAGGATGCAGGGGGAGGACAGTGTTTGATGAGGGATCAAATACATGGATCCTCCCCCTCCATAAGTTAGATCCATGATCATTTTTATTTTAATACTTTCTTAGAAAGACATTTAGAGCATTTCTTTTTCTGGGTGTACTCTTTTAAAATTTTTTACAATTACCTTCAAGGATGTAAGAATGAAGAAAAATGATTTGGGATTGCTCCTTAGAGATGACAAGCATATTTCACAGCAATCCTACCTCTTTTGGTCTTACTGAAAATAATTTTCTGCTGTGTTGTTTCATTTGATATTATGTTTTTGCAAAAACTAAAAAAGGTTAACTATAAATGAATAATCAGAAGGGACTTTATAACATGAACTGTTAATATTCCAATGAGGGAAGGGATGTTGAAAGGGTTCTTTTAGAATCCTAATGTCACAAGGGGTCATAGAGGTAATCAAGTGAGAAAGAAGACTTATAGTTTTGTTTTATTTTGAAGCTGCTGTCAGAAAAAAAAGAAAAGCATAAGAGGAAGGGAGAGGACAGATTAAAGGGAAAATGGGAGAAAAGATGGGGGAATTTGTTAAAGACACATAATTGGGTTTTGTAAGTAGAACCATATACAAACTTGGTAGGAAGGATAGAGGAGCAGCATCACCTGAATTTAAGAGAGGGAATAATACACACATTTACGAAAGAGTTTAGTGTAGAAATATGTTCAACTCAACAGGGATATAGATTGGACAGAGAGAAAGGAAAGGGAAATTATAAGACGGAGGGTAGATTGAGGGAGGGATTAGTCATAAACAAAATAAATCTTAAGTCTTGGAAAGGGGATACTGAAAAACTGTTAAAAGGAAAAAATTAAGGGATAATAACTTGAAATAATCAGGAAGAGAGAAGGCCATCCATTATAGAGGGATGATAGATTTAGGGTACATAATAAGACATATAGGGAATTTGACATGAGGGAATTTTTTTTATTATGTATGTTTGTTAAAATAAATTTGTTTTTCTTTTTTCCCCAATGTAGTAGGGAGAGGAAGAGGAAATAGATTTCTATTCATTTAAAAAATTAGAGAGGCAGGGGAGAGCTGCAGATGTGAAATATTGCATGTATCTTCAGATGAGATGTCACTATCATTACTTTGACTAATTGGTTTATTTTGTTACAAATGACCTCCCACAAAATGAGAGGAATCTGTAAATGTTTGTAATGTAAAAACAAGGCACATCAATAAAACTTTTCAAAATACTCAAATTAATGGCATTTGGTGGGATGTCTGTGTATGTGCCCTGTAAATTTAGAATTTTACTGTAATGCTCCCATATTCAGTTCCATTTTGTAACAAGTTCGGAAAAAAAAAGAAAAAGGAACCAAAACACATTATTCTGGTTGTGCTCCAATAGAACTTTATAGTGAAAGAAATGCACATAAAAATATTGCCCTTAAAAATTTTATTATCATTTGCTTTTAATTTGAATATTGAGTCAAATTCTTATTTTTAGCATGAATTTCAATTGCATTTTAGCAGATACAACTAACAGAAAATTTACTAGGGATGATGTTACAATGAGAAGTACAATTGAAAAAGAATATGAAAATGTAAAATATGTTTTAGCACAGAGGACATGGATTTCTGATTTAACAACAGCATAAGTACAACTGATAGACATGAAAAGGGGTTTATCTCGAGTTTTAGGATGCATTTTAATATGTTATTTATAAACTATGTGTACTTAAAGTGATTTGTATTGAATAAATTATCAAGAAGTATTTTAAATACACTTATATCCAGTCTCTTTAGTGATGATGAAGTGTTTGGCAAAGCCCAAGGCATAAACATTTCTTCAATTCAGTTGTCTTTTATTAAGCACTGACTGTGTGTAAAATATTGTATACACAGTGAGTATAAAGATGAAAAATGAAAAAATCCTTGCCATCAAGAAACTTATGTTGTGAGGGATACAACACACACACATGCGCACACACACGTACATATATATATTTTACATATAAATTAACCTGATTGAAGGTAATAATAATTATAGCTAGCATTTATATCATGCATTAAGATTTGCAAAGCACTTTTACATACGTTATCTAATTGATCTTATAATGTTGTGAAGTAGGTACTATTATTATCCCTACTTCACAGATTAGGAAACTGAGACTATGAAAGTTTAAGCTACTTGCTCAGGGTCACATAGCTGGTGAGTGTATGAAAAAGGATTTGAAATGAATTCTTTCTAATTCCAGATCTGATGCTCTATCCACTGTGCCACCTAGGGACAAAGGAAGGATCCAGATTAAGTGACCTGGGAAAATTGAGGAGGAAGAACTTTCAGTTGGGGATATCAGGCAGGAGTTGGGCCTTAAAGGCAGAGAATTTCAGCAGGCAGATACAGATGAGGGAATGTGTTCCAGGCATGGGGTTGGGGATGGGGGGCTAAGGAGAAGACCAGCTGTGAGAATACATGAAGAAACAGCTCAGTCTAACGGGGGAGATATCACATGAAAAGAAGCTGAAAAGGGGGTAGGGGAGATTTTGGGGGCATGATGAAATCATGCAGTTAGAGTGGGAAATGATCTGAGGTGAGAGTTTCCAAGTTAATTTCATCTTGCAGAATGATGACTTTCTGAAGAGGATGAAGGAAAGTAGCCTGATGGGAATTGATGAGAATTCTCTAGGTGCTACCCTTAAATAGTGAAAGATTGGAAAGAAGCTATCCATGTCTATCTTCTACCCTCTCCAGGGCTCCGGGGGTAGGGGGTGTTTAGGCAGTTTGAGTTTCTGAGTTGATTTCGTCTTGCAAAATGATGAACTTCAGGAGATAATGAAGTCAGCAAAGTATCTGTATGGTAAATAGAGACGAGATCAGGGTGAGATAGGGATCAATACTCCATTTGTCTGAAATGTGGGTTTTGTAAAGGGGGTTTGTCTAAACAGGTTGCAAAGTTAGCTTCAGAGTCTGTTTCTTAAAGGGTCATGAATGCCAGGCTAAGGTGCTTATATTTTATCTTGCTGGTGACAGGGAGCCTCTGAATGGTTTTGATTAGGGAAGTGATATGTTCAGACCTTTACTGTAGAGAGATCATTTTGCCAGCTACATCGAAGGATGGATTAGAGAGGATAGAGACTGAAGAACTGGAAGATTATTTAGGAGGCTGCTCCAGCAGTGTCGGCAAGAGGTGATGAGGGCCTGAAATGGGATGATAACAGTGTGAGTACAGATAAAGTGACTTTCAAGAGAGAGTATGCAAGCAACTGATGGAATTAGCAACCGATGGGATATTGGGGGTAGGGATAGATATAGAAGAAGATGATTCTGAGGTTTTGAACATGGTTGACTGAGAAGGTAGTGTGTGTCATTAACAGAAATAGGGAATCTGGGAAGAAGTGCAGGTTTAGTG